CGTCAACACCCTCGCTCTCGAACCATGCCTGGTACAGTTGTCACACAGCTGCTTTGAAGGAGCGGTTCACCGCGATGTCCAGGGGCTAGACCTCCGATATGCAGCCAGCTGGTATGACGGCGGGGACGATATGCAGCTCGCCGAATTTCGCCCTCACTTCATCAGTCAGGTGCCCGTGGTAGGAGTCGAGAACCAGCAACACCTTCCTGCTACGCACTCCGAACCTTGAGTTGACATACGGGCTCACCGTTCCGTCGAGCCACGCGAGGACGCCGTCCGTGTCCATCCAACCGTTGCGATGTGTGGCGACCACGGCATCTAAACATCCGCACAAGTCGTTCGTTAAGAACTGCGTCGGTCATAGGGAAAAACAACTGCAAACTAAACATTGATTGCACAAGATGCTCGGCTTACCGGAGGGGAAATTCCCCTTTGGAACAGTCTTGCGCTTAAAGAACACTCAAGGCTTCAGTTTCTCGCTGCTGGCGGTGCAGGCGAGCATCACCGTCACGCGTTCCTTTTGATAGCCGCCGCTGCGGATGGGCACGGAATGGACCCCCACCTCATCGACCGTGCGTTCGGCTGGCACTTGGAGCCAGAGCGGGGTCTGATCTCCATTAATAATCCAGCAATTGTCGATGACGTACTGTCGGCGGGTGTGTCGCACGAACTTCCAGAAGTTCCGCACCTGCGTCTCGCAGTTTGAAAGGGACAGGGAGACAAACAATAAAAAAACATCAACACAATATGGAACAGGCAAGTCCTCGGGAAGACCGTCGGCCGCCCACCACTCAACGCCGTCTTCGGCACCAGTGGCGGATTCGTCGTACAGGCAGTCTTCCGGCTCTCCTCACCGTGGCGACAGACCGGGGCCCGTTTCTTCTTCAGCGCTGCGCTCGGGCTCGGGCTCGGGCTCGGAGATGTACGCGTCGAAAGCAGAGTAGCCGAGAGGGAGAAGCTGCAGAATGTTCACACCGTTGATGACGACGTGAGGCGGAGCGGGAGGAGTAGGAGGCGCTGGAGGTGCAGGAGGCGCAGGAGGAGCAGGAGGCGCAGGAGGAGCAGGAGGTATGGGCGCTGGGCGACTCTGCCACTGAGAGTAATCGGGAGTTTTGTCAGCAGCACCTCAGCACCTAAAGAGGAAATGGGTGCCTGGTAGGCCCGCCATAGCTAAGGCAGGCCGAGGGAAAACAAGAAATCTGAAAAAAAACGATGAGAATGACGCCTGTTTGAAACCCTCGCCCGAGACCCCTCCAACATCGCGGCCCGGGTTCCTCTGCAGGGAAAGGGGAGAAACTGTTAAGATCTATCCGCAGAGGAGCTGATGTGGTGAGGTCCAAGCCTTGTTGGCAAGGAATCTTGCTGCATATGCCCATTTCGTGGTGGTACTGCGTCGTGCCTAGCACGGCAGTCGACCCTGATTGGGCAGTCGCACACTAAACAGCGTGTGCGCTGGCATGGGCCAGATTCTGTTGGATTGGGCGTGACGGGCGTGATTCCACGCCTTGTTGGCAATTTGACGCGCGTTTCATGCACAGTGGCGAACGTTCTAGATGTGGATTGAATCCCCGTTTGAAAAAGCTTCAATTACATGTAAAAAAAAACCATTTCGCTTTTGCCATTTTATAGACGCCGGCAATTACAAGCGCACCCCCTAAAAAACAGTGTTTTATTATAACCCCAGGGGCGCTTCTATCCAGGGGCTGACGGTAGTACAATTATTGGTGTGGATGGATGGGAGTAGGCAGGGTAGCTGATAGAATAAATTCCCTGCTGTGTGGTTTCATTCTCAATCCATTTTTCCTGAATCCATTCAGTTGCAAGTTTCTCTTGCTAATTTTCTACAATCAAGGCTTCTGCTACGACGGCACTGTGCCTTTCTAGCATGGTATTAGAGCTATAATAGGGGGCATGCTGCCGAAATTTGGTCGGAACTCTTTTACAATACATATTGGGCAGACCCATTAGCAAATTGGCATATCAGGCAACGATTGGTTGGATTAAGGCAATGGCGCGATTCGACGATAAAGTCGACACTCCATACGAGGCCTTGAAGGGGCCATAACGGTTCAACATGAGCACCTGGAGAGCATGATTGCAAAGGCACCACCGGCACTCCAAATGTCATTGAGAACAAAGTTGAACATGCAAATTGGTGAAGGGAGTGGCAAATTTGATAATGTGGGCATGGAAGGTGTAGGACTTGGATTCTGCGCTATTGGTGCTCCCCCACTCCAATGTCTTGCCACTAACTCTCATCCCATTGGAGCCCCCGTAATGGGCAGATCTCACCTTCTTGAAGACAACATTATACCTCTTCGCACGCGTCGTTCAATAATGGGAGTGGATCCTGCATGGAGCATGGAGCGCACTGGACATGGGATGCAATCAAATGGTGTTTTGCGAAGTGATCTTGTGGATGTGGTGGAACATCACCTCTACGATCAAGAGGGCGGGAGCAACGCGTGGCTGGTCAAGCGCGCAAAGACAAATCATATGCAAAGGAGAGTACCGGGACCAAGAATGCTGCAACTTCAAGCGGAGAGCAGCAAGCGACTAACGTGGAGAAATGAATGGCAATGATGGAAAGGGCAGACGCTCAACTCTCATGTGCCGGTTTTGCAAGCAACTGGGCCACCCGTTCTACAAGTGTCACACGACACCACCAGGATGGTCACCACGGGGGTGGGAACAACGAAACAGAAGGAGGACCAACCGACGTACCAGCAACATCCGTTTGACATCTCCATGAAATGGTGGCAGCCCCAAACGTGACAACAATGGTATACAACAAAAAGGGGCAACCGGGAAAGACAACGAAAGGACGGTTACATGCATTGCAACGATCCGATTATCACGAGCGACCTCACCAAGCGCGGGAGGGTCTCTGTGGTTGCTGGACAGCAGATGCAGCCAGCATATGACTTAGGACAAAAGGTGGTTCGAGGATTTGAAGGAGTTGGACGAACCTATGCGCGTGGAGCTTGCTGATGAGAGCACTCTGAACAGCTCAATGGTGGCCACGATTAGAGTAACAGCACCCAATGGGACAACGGTTTGATACACCGAAGTGCTCTACGTACCGGGTTTGAAGAACAATCTCCTCTCCTTCTGTCAGCTGTTGAAAAAGGGAGCTCGGATCAACACAAATGCTGATGGCGATAGCGAGATCACCATGCCTGTTGGAGATGGGCATGTACGGATTGGACTTGACAGAGACGTGCATGGAGTGCTCATGGTGGACTATGCCCCTGCACTTTATTCTGTCCATGGATCTGGACATACTCATGAGGATGCACCATCGAATGCGAATGGTCATGGAAGATTAAAGGGCCAACCTGCTCCTGCATCCGTCACCTACCGTATCGCTCACATGGCTCGTGTCGTGAGGAACATGACACGTATCGTTGAAAAGGACACTCACTCATCGCGTACCTTTGATGACATGCTGCTGGACGCTGGGACTTTGCTTGGACACCAGTAGCACGCGGATGAAGTCTCACCCCATGATGCGGTGTGGACTTCAGGGGGAGAAGGAAATGAAGATGGACCAGATTTTGCGAAGCAAAACCTACCTGGACATGAAGCAGCTGCTATGGTCAATGCAGCCAAAGGAAAGGGAGGTGCTACAACGAATGACTTTCCAGTAGCAGATGTCTCTATACAAGTGGAGGATGAAGATGATGCTGGAAGTAAGGTGGGATATGCAACTACGGATGTGCGCATGGTTGAGCTGACATACAAGGAGCTGAAAAACATGACCAAGGACCAGCCCGCACCCACCAATGGACACGACATCACCTGCAGCCGCGTGTGCGGCGTCGAATCGATTCCACGTGAAGCAACATCTGCGTATGGCCAGCAAGTCAATGGTGCTGGTGCAACACTCACACGAGCAAACTTCTCGAGGTGTGCTGCACAACCAAACATCACGTAGCTCCACATGACTCACTCATGTGTTTACACATGTGCATATGTTTGCACAAGTGCATGATCACAAACACATGGGTGAGAGGGGGAGTGGGGTGTGGATCATTTTATACGCTGGAGTGGGAGGCAGAAGTTCATATTTCAGTTTCATTATCATTTACACGGCAGTCAGGTGCCAAAGGAACGACCTACGATCAACATTGCACAATACAAGGGGTGTGGAGTGTGGTCTGCCTCACAATGGAGCAAGATCTGGGAGTTCATTTACAAGATAAGGGTCACTGATGCTGATGTCGTGCACCAGCAGCTGCTGCAATCGGTCAGCACTTGCTGAAGTGCTCCAGCTGCTGCTGTCCACGGGCAGCCGCTGCTACAAGGGTACCTGCTGGTTTTAGGGGGAGTAAAACACAAGTGAGTGAAGTGCACAGCCATGAGTAGATGCACTACTTTGATCAAGGGCAGAAGGCAACCTAATGTCTGTGCACACGTGCTGGAGCTGTGGAAGTGTACCAAGCCGCGCTAGAGCTGCATGATATGCAGCCACCGTCTGCTAGCTTACCATGGAGCAGCTGCTGCTGGCCGTGCCCGACGACAGCTGTTGGTGCTGCAGTCCGTCAAGTGCTAGTGCAGGGCGTCAGAAGCTGTTGGTGCTGCTGCTGCGTGCTAGGAGCTGCTGGTGCTGACAGAGGCCAGGTGCTGCCGTCGGTGCAGTGTGCAACTGGGTGCTGCTGGTGCAGGAGCAGGCTGCCAGCTGTTGCTGTCCGCCGGCTGCAGCTGCTCTCGTGTGCCCGCTGGTGTGAAAAAGGGAGAGGATCACAAGTGAAAGCAGGCATGACTGACTCTGCATTCAGAAAAAAGCAAGGCATTACGGGTTGTAAAGCACCATGGTATGAGGCAGGGGGAGAAAGCTGGAGACTCACTCTCCATGGTGCTGCAAAGTGCCAGGCGCTGCTGGAAGTGCTACCGCCCCACAGGTGTTGTTGGTGCTGCTCCCGCTCGCCAGGCACTGCTGTTGCTACTCCGGTTCACCACCAGCCGCGGATGCTGTCCACCACCAGCTCGTGAACCGCTTAGCTGCTGCTGCAGGCTGGCAGGTGGAGCTGCAGGCGGGCGAGTGAAGCTGCTGCCGCCATGTCAGCTGCTTCCGTGTGCCACCTGGTGTAGGAGGGGGGGCAGCACAGGGTAACAAGGGTGCATAAGATATGAGGGTGAAAAGAAATCAGGATTTGGGTGCAGCAGAGAGGAGAGCACAACACTCGCTCAAACGGATCTGACCTGTAAGGAACACCTCACCTCGGCAGAAGAATGGGTAAGCAACCCGTTGCTGCTAGTCGTCTGCAGCTCACCCGCCGCTACTTCCGCGAGTGTGTCGCCACTGCAGCCCACTGATGCTGCTGCCGAGCGCCGGGTAATGCCGCTGATGTGCAACACATGCTGCACGCTATTGAAGTTGAAGCTGTTCATCGGCACGAGAAGCTGCCCTGCACAAGCTGTTGGCGCAGACGCCTCTCGTCAGACGCTGCTGGTGCTGGCCGCCAGCTGTTGCTGCGCCCGTGCGTCAGCCACTGGTGCTTCTCTGCACATGATGGTTTGAGGGGGAGCATCACAAGACAAGAAGATTAAGTCAGAACAGGCATCATCCAGAAAGAGAGTAAAATTCAAGCAGAGTGGAGAAGGAGAAGACGAACAACTGCAGTGCTAGGAGAATGCAAGGGTGTTCTTCACCACCAGAGCACGACTCAGGGGGGGAACGCCAAGAGTTTACTCACCACATGCTGGGCGACAGATGCTGCCGCCGTCAGCTGCTGTTGCTGCCACCAGCTGCAGCTGCGACCAAGAGCTGCTGTTGGCGCCCACCAGGTGTTGCTGGTGCTGCCGGGGGCAAGGAGCTGCCGCCACCGCTGCTATGCTACACCTGCAGGTGGTGGGAAGGACAAACAGTGGAGAAGGAGGTTAGTAAGTAATACAGGCAAGTTTCACAGCTACATTTTAAATAATGAAAGGTGACTCTTTTGGTCAGAAGGAGAAAATGTGAGGAAGATAGTGTAGCGGACCGCCAGGTGCTGCAGCTGCGGCCAGCTCATACCATTGCCTCCCGCCTTACATGAAGCCTGATGGCATCAGGAACTGCAGCCGTGCGTCACCAGCAGCCATTGCCGCCGCTCATCATGATGGGGTGAGCAAGCCAGGAGAAGGAGGGGAGCGTCAGGTGCAAGCTCGGTCGAAGATGGTGCAGCACGTGCGCCACAGGTGCTGCAGCTCGTAAGTAGATGTGTGCCAGCCGCTGCAGTCGTGGGCCAGTGGAGCCTCCGGCGGCCAGTCTACGGTCTCCGCCAGGCGCCCCGTGAGTGGCACGACACACTGAGGACTACACTTGCGGCTCTTGGGTTTGCTCCTTCTACAGCCGACCCGTCGCTGTTTCTGCGCACCGACACATCTTTGCCGCCGTTCTACATCCTCGTGTACGTCGACGACTTGGTCTTTGCCACTGCTGACACTGCTGGACTCGCCCACGTGAAGTCCGAGCTGCAGAAGAGACACACGTGCACAGACCTGGGTGAACTGCGCAGCTACCTTGGATTGCAGATCACCCGGGACAGAGCACAGCGCACCATTACCCTGACTCAGTCACACATGGTGCAGCAGGTCCTTCAGCGCTTCGACTTCACGTACTCCTCGCCTCAGGCCACTCCTCTGTCTACTCGCCACTCGCTCTCAGCTCTGCCTTCGGATGAGTCCGTAGAGCCGAGTGGCCCGTACCCAGAGCTTGTTGGCTGCCTCATGTACCTGATGACCTGCACACGACCTGACCTTGCATACCCTCTTAGCATCTTGGCACGCTATGTTGCTCCTGGGAGACACCGACCAGAGCACATGGCTGCAGCGAAGAGGGTGTTGCGCTACTTGTGCAGTACGTCGGGCATGGGGCTAGTGCTTGGAGGGCGACGTCCAGTGGTCCTCACAGGTCACGCAGACGCTTCTTGGGCTGACGACCAGGCTACGCAGCGGTCGTCACAGGGTTACACCTTCAGCCTTGGCTCCGGCTCTGTTTCATGGCGGTCTACCCGCTCGTCTTCTGTTCTCGGCTCCAGTTGTGAGGCTGAGATCTACGCGGGGGCCATGGCTGCACAGGAGCTACGCTGGCTCACCTACCTGCTGACTGACCTAGGAGAGGCGCCTCGTTCTCCTCCAGTTCTGTACGTAGACAACAAGGCCATGCTGGCCTTGTGTCGGGAGCACAGACTGGAGCACAGAACGAAGCACATTGCTCTTCGTTACTTCCTTGCTCGTGAGCTGCAGCAGCGTGGTCAGCTGCGCCTTGCTTACGTGGCCTCTAAGGCCAACACTGCTGATATCTTTACCAAGGCACTTCCGCCTGGTGATCATCAGCGCTTCTGTACGATGCTAGGTCTTGTGCCTACTTGGCCTCACTTGCTCACTTCTTGACCTTGCTTGTACTGTGATCTTTCTATACCTGCACTTGCCTGTTTACCTTTATATACGATCTTGCATGTGAACTGGCCTTTTGGCCCTGCTTTTGTGCTCGGATTGTGTGGTGACGTTGTGATCCACCCTGAGCTTGCTTTGCTTTGCTTGACTGGTCTTGTGACCTCTTGTTCTCCCCCACTTTGCCTATGGGGGTGTGTCAAACTCATATGCTATAGTCTGTGTAGGCTGTAGTGGGGTAGACTTTATGGGGTACAACATTTCTAGGTTTTCCTACTTGTACCCACCTGTTTGCTAGTTCATTCATTTCCTCATTTCTTCACAATCCGCGGCTACTGGCCCGATGCTTGTTTTTTTACTTCGGGGATGCCGCATTGTTGTTTCCCTGCAGCTCTGTTCATACCTTCTTCATTTTCCAACACGCCAAGAGTCGATGTCCTACTGCGCCGCAAAATTCGCACTTCTCATATTTTTTCGGCCGCTGCGTCGCGTCGATCTTGTCTATATCCATCAGGTTGGCAGTCGTGGGTGGTGCCGATCGCTTCGTGTCGAATGATCTGCTCGGCACGTGGCGTCGTGTCTTGGGTTGACCTTGCATCAGCGCATCGAATCTCTTTGCTGCACACACCATGTCGCAATAGTTGTTGTAGTTCGCGGCAATCACCTGTTACTTGGACGGGGGGCAGTTGTTGTTGATTTGTCTGTCTTGAGGGAGAAGGTGTGCGCGGCGGTATCGCGGCTTTTCGCAGCCGGCTGTCCAGATTGAGCTGGTTAGGAAGAGGTTCCCGCATCACCTTTGCACAATTCTTGGAGGTCTTTCTCCATAGTTGAGAGTCGCGAAAATAATTGCTCGAGTGCGGCAGTGCTGATCGTGGTTGTCGCCTCATTTGTCGCAGCCAGGTTGGTTTGTCCTTCAAGCGTCAGATTTGCTTGGCCCGGCCATTTTGGTCTTTGAGCGTGTGTCGCTCGCCAGATCTTGATGTGGCGAATTTCATAGAAGTAAAGTTACGAAGAATCCCTGAGTAGCTCTCATACCATGTTACAATCCCAAGTGTGACTTTAGCAAAGGATCGCTCAGGGTTGATCGCAGGGTAGTGTTGCAGCGGAAGTGTTGACCTCAGGTCAGAGTGAATGTAAATGACTGAGATTAATACTTGTCAAACTCATATCATATAGCTTGTCTAGGCTATAGTGGGGTAGACACTATGGGGTACAGTTTCCTAGGGTTTCCTACTTGTACCCAACCTTGTGCTAGTTCATTCATTCCTCATTTCTTCACATGGTATAGAGCAGGTTCCCTAGTGGGAACGCTTCCTTGGGCCCACCACTGAATTTTTTTTTTTTCTGACCGGAGCGCCAGTCGCTCCTGCCCGAGGCGCGCCTTGTGGGCCGCCCTTCTGTCGAGCTCTCTTAGAGACTCCTCTCACGGCCCCTCGTGCCGCCCCTAGCGGCCCCGTCGCCGCCCTTCCAGGCCCCTCGCGGCCCCTAGCAGCCCCGTCGCCGCCCCTACGCGGCCCCGTCGCCGCCCCTAGCGGCCCCGTCACCGCCCCTAGCGGCCCCGTCGCCGCCTCTCTCCCTACGCGGCCCCGTCGCCGCCCCTACGCGGCCCCGTCGCCGCCCTTACGCGGCCCCGTCGCCGCCCCTAGCGGCCCCGTCGCCGCCCCTACGCGGCCTCGTCGCCGCCCCTAGCGGCCCCATCGCCGCCTCCCTCCCTACGCGGCCCCGTCGCCGCCCCTAGCGGCCCCGTCGCCGCCCCTACGCGGCCCCGTCGCCGCCCCTAGCGGCCCCGTCGCCGCCTCCCTCCCTACGCGGCCCCGTCGCCGCCCCTACGCGGCCCCGTCGCCGCCCCTAGCGGCCCCGTCGCCGCTCCCCTCCCTACGCGGCCCCGTCGCCGCCACTACGCGGCCTCGTCGCCGCCCCTACGCGGCCCCGTCGCCGCCCCTACGCGGCCCCGTAGCCGCCCCTAGCGGCCCCGTCGCCGATCCCCTCCCTACGCGGCCCCGTAGCCGCCCCTAGCGGCCCCGTCGCCGCCTCTACTGGCCTCGTCGCCGCCTCTACCGGCCCCTTCACCGCTGAGCCGCCCAGCAGCTGAGCAGCCGAGCCACCAAGCCGCCGAGCCGCCCAGCAGCTGAGCCGCCCAACAGCCGAGCCGCCGAGCCGCCCAGCAGCCGAGCCGCCGAGCCGCCCAGCAACCGAGCCGCCGAGCCGCCCGACAGCCGAGCCGCCCAGCAGCCGAGCCGCCGAGCCGCCCTGCCGTCGAGCCGCTACTGTTCCTACCGGCGCGCCCTGGCCCTACTTACTCGGACTCGTGAGATCACTCCCTGCTAGGCCACTGCAGTCATGGCTACCCCCAGTGTCCTTACCTTTGATGCTGAGGGTCGTGCTGTTGACTTTGAGGTCTGGGTCGATAGCCTCCAGCTGTTCCTACAGTGCGATAGGGCAGACGGACTCTCCCTGTTCGATCTCACCTCTGGTGCCTCCCCTGCCCCGCCTGCTACAGCTGACAGCACTGTTCGCTCACAGTGGGCCACACGCGATGCTGTTGCCCGTCTTGCTGTGCGTCGCCACTTACCGACCACTTTAGCTAGTACAAGAGTGCTAAGACCTTGTACGACGCTGTAGTTGCACGCTACTCTTCCCCTGCCACTGCTGCGCTGAGCCGCCTCTTGCTGCCGTACCTGTTCCCTGACCTTGCTGCCTTTCCCACAGTCGCTGACCTCATTACGCACCTTCGCACTAGTGACACTCGCTACCGCACTGCGCTTCTTGCTGATTTCTGTGCCAAGAACCCCCCCCCCATGTACATCACCCTCTACTACATAGTCACCCGGCTCCCTGACTCCCTTCGCTTAGTCAGGGACCACTTCCTCTCAGTTTGCCCCACCACACTCACCGTTGACCTCCCCGAGGAGCGCCTCCTAGCAGCAGAGAAGAGCATAGTCGCTGTAGGAGCCTCTCGTGGTGACCCTCGCACCCCCGTCTTTGAGGGGTGTTCCCCTTCCCCCCTCTTGCCCTCT